ATTGATCCCAGGAGATCAACCTCACTTCAACTCTGGCTCCATTTGTATTTTACTATAATAGCCCCTAGGGCAGTGTGGCTGTTCATTTTAAAGGGCCCATATCAAGATGGAAACAGGTTAAAAAAAGAAAGAAAAAGACATCCTTTACTGTAACGTGAGTCACACAATACTCTCAAGGATTTTATTAAGGCAAAAATTCAGAGTAACTATGACCTCTTGGTAGAATGTGATCACACTACCAATTGAGTCCTTTTTTTCTGGTATCAAAGCTCCTAATTCTCATTAGAATGTCATTTTTCTTGAGAGAGACATTCCTTATGGAAATAGAATTCTTATATGTGCTAGACAAGTTCTTACACTCACACTCTAGTAAGTACAGTTCCCTACATGTGACCAGGAGACAAAGTCGACAGCCATTTTGGTGTGTGTTAAAAGAGGGCTACTGGGTCTGGAGAAGACAGAATGTCAGGATGGAAATATTGGAATCAACTTGTGGTTTGGAAGTGAGCTGCTAATTGAAAACTGAAGCATACACTTGTACTAGATTTGTTCAAGTTTTTTTTTGTTTAATTTCATTTTGCATTTCAACTACAGTTTTCCATCCTGCCTGCCTCTCCCCTGTCCCCTAAGCCCATCCCCATCTACTCTTTCTACACGGTAAGGGCTCCCATGTTTTTAATTTTTAGTCCTCCTTTCAAAGCATATTTTGATATTGTCCAGACTCAATAAGTACATTGCAGAAGAATACAATAAATATGGGGAATAAGGTCATGGCTTGAATTGAGGCTCATTTTGGTTTTACTATGGCCATTGTTATTAAAATATTTGCCATGCCACCATCTCTTACATATTATTTCATAAAACTAACCACATATGACACATTTTGATATATGCTTATTCATTTTTACATTATTGATGATCTGTTTTGCTTCTCATCAAAGAAATACTTCAGTCCTGTCTATTTTTTGATAAGTATGTATTTTTAATAGTCTCCACAATTGCATCTGATGTTCAGTAGTTAACATGACATATTAAATCAATGAACTGGTATATGCATTAAAAATTGTAAAAAGCACTAAATTAATTACTTAATTTATTAAATACAGTATTTTGTATGTATAAAACCAGGAGTAATTAAGTTTCATTTAACTTAATATTTTTAAATTGACACATTTTGTATATGCTAAATTCATGTCTTTTGTTCAATGCCTTGAAAAATAGTTTATCAAGTAAAATCTTTCTGGATAGATTAGACAACTTTCATAACTGATATAAATTCATTTTGCATTTTGAATTACATGATAGAACAATTTATCAAATGCTTGACAGCTTGTCACCTCTATTTCTCATTCCTTAAATTTAGTTTTTTTTTCTTTTTGCTTAGATGTTGCTTCCTCATTAGAGTAAAAGGAAATTGTGTATAACAGATGAAAATGTGCAACTGTAAGCTTATTAAAGTACCATCAATGTGTCTTATGGATTCATTGTATGACCCCCTTCATTTGTAATTCAACAAAATAAATCCCACAGTCCACTGGAGTGAATGTTAAATCATATCACTTGCCTATCTAGAGCAGATCTGACATGGAGTACTCCATATCCTTTGACATTTAGTCCTCAATTCACTCTTTCCTGAAGAGTTCTTGGAATTGTGCTCCATCTTGATAGCCTCAGGCTGTTGACACAGGAGCATGCAAAGTGGTTTCATGTATGTCAGAGACTGCCCCAAGCCCTCAGTTAGCTTAGGAGTATTCAAGTCATCACATGACATACTAAGCAGCATGATAATTAGATTCTTATGTTTTGATTTACTTTCTTCTCTCTCTAAATCATCAAATTCATTTTTATGCAAGAATTTTAATTCAGGATGAATAGCAGATTATGATAAAAATGTACAATCTAAGAACATAAAAAACAAAACATAAAAGGAAATGTACTGTGTTTTAAAATTTTATTATGGTGTTTAATGATTGTGGATTAATTTACCTTTCTTTTCACATTACCTTTTTATTCTTCTATCATACAACATATTCTGAGAATAGTTTCCCTTACCTCCATTCTTCCCAGGGCCCCTTCACCTCGTCTCTCTTCCAGATCCACTGCCCCCTCCCATTTCTGCTTCAGAAAATAACAAACCTACAGAGATGACAGCCAAGTAGGACAAAACAAAATACAGTAAGAAAAAGCAAAAGGCTGGACAAGGCAAACCAATGGGATGAAAAAAAGTCCTAACAACAGGCAAGGGAGTCAGAGATCTTCCTCTTTCTTCTGTTAGGAGTCCCACAAAAACACCAACCTAACAGCTATAGCATATACACAGAAGACCTAGTGTGGACCCATTTAGGCCCTGAGATTTCTGCTTCCATCTCTGAGCCCATGGGAGCCCTGCATAATTGATTCAGTGGGTTATGTTCTCCTGGTGTCCTCCAATCCATCTAAGTTCTAAAATCATTCCTCTTTGTCTTTAATGGGGTTCTATGTCTGAGGGAGGGATCTTATGGAGACTTTGAATCTAAGACTATCTTTCCACATCATGTCTGGCTGTGAGTCTCTCTGTACTCGCTCTCATCTGGGACAAGAGGAAGCCTCTCTGATGATGACTGTGCATGGCACCCATCTGTGAGTATATTATTAGGAATTGTTTCGTTGATTTTCCAACTGTGTTTAGCTGAATATATATTTATTTTTTATACAATATATTCTGACTATGGGTCCCCCCACATACAATTTCTTCAAGTTTTCCTTACCTACTGACTTTCTGGTTTCACACCCTTTCAGGTCTCTAAATATAAAATAAATAGGCATCTAAGAAAGTCATAAAATAAAATAGGACAAAACAAATACAATGCTTTTATTAATATCAACCTACTTTTTTCTTCATATGTATGAAGATAGAAGTGATCATGCCTATGTTGGTGTACCCTGCCCTTAAGATTGCAGTCTACTGTTTCCGACATCTCTCTGGGCTCGGTGCACAATGGAGGACTCCCATTCTGCAGGACACTATCCCTTCTTGGGTAGTGTTTCTAGGCTCAGAGGCTTGACCTTATCTGGAAGGTGTCCCTATGCCTGGATACCTGACCTATCTCAAGGGAGATCATTGACACAGTCCTCACCTCTGCTACCCATATGCTGATTCTGTTTTCTGCTCCAAGCTATATGGTAGGACCATGCTGTCAAACACAAATTAGGTGATTCCCCAGATGCTCTTCCCATCCTATATATCTCCCCTCACTCTGGAATAAAATTGAGCTGTTACATTGAAGCAGTCTCCTTGAAAGCTATTTCCACTGACACTCACATTGGGAGGCTGGGGGGTGGGGAGTGCGGGAGGAGGGGACAGAGAGGGAACTGGGATTGACATGTAAAACAAGGTATTTAAAATTAAACTTAAAAAATTTTAAAAAAAGAAACATATTTCCATTGTGCCAACAAGATATCTAAACCCTTTTCCCAGCTTCTCCTCCCTCCTCACTCCTGGACTATCTTAGCCAATGATTTCCCAGGAAGAGAGAGCCCCACATGACTATTTGATGCAACTTCTTATAAAGTCTCAAAGTCAGAGGTTCAGCCATTTGTCACTTAGTGAAGACATGTAGGGAAGCAAACCCATGCCAACTCTACACTCTGGATCCCTTCAGAACTTGCCCTCAGTGCCTCTTTGTTGAGCTGTTGATTTGTAGCCTTAGAATATTCTTTGTGATAAATAAGCAACACATTAAGTGGGATGCTTTCCTGAACAATTCTAGCAAGTTACTGAACCTAAGGAAGAGCCAAGGGAGCTTCTGATTGCTAGTCCTCTGAGACAAAAGCTGTGCATAATCTGAGTTTTACAGGTCGTAGGCAGGAGGTGTTATAGAGCTGAGCTCTTGTCCTACATGTCCTGGACTCATGACACTTAGTGCCACAGCTGAATTGTAAGATAAACCAGCTGGTGCAAGATGTTTGGTTGCTACAGAAAAAAAATAATACATGCATTGGTCTTATAAGCAGTGCTGTGAATATAGAGAAAACTCTAACTTTGCTCTTCCTTCCTCTCCCTCTCTGTCTTAATTCTCCCTCCCTCTGTCTCCCTCCCAAACTTCCTTTTCAGCAATGAAAGTGTGTACCAAATGAGACATTGCTATATTACAATGGTTTGCTGGCAAATAGCCTGAGGATCTAAGAGAAAAAATATGCAAACAAACATTTGGAACTGTTCAAATCATTTTTGAAGATTAAGTGTAGCTAAGGAGTATATATTATCTTCAAACTGAAAGCATTCTTTTGTGTTCTACTTAGAAGTAATATTTGAAACATGTGGCTGAGTATACATGTTCTAGTTTTGTTTTAAGTACCTAGAGCAGTTTATAAGAATGAAGAAGAAATAAAGAAGGTTATCACCATTTTCCAAAAGAACACTTTCAATGGATACTGACTTATTTTTGGAATTGACCAAGAACAATGTCACCCTCAAAGGATTATAAAATTAACTGTCCACATGGTAACATTGTAACAACATTCTTGTCATTTATTTCAAACTGGACCAGTTCTTTACTGAATATAACAGAAGAAAGAAGAAATGAAACCCAAAATAGGGAATTCTTATTATCCTGTGTTTTTACTTACTGTGGTATATTGGGTTGGAATTAGTAGACATATAAACATATATGTGTTTCTGCATCCAACCAACTTGTCTAATTTTACACCAAGCATAAAGCAAAGAGTGTTAGAATGGATAAACTATTTGCTAATTTCCTGACAAGTGAATTAATCTTATTACTAAATCATTTTTAGGTTCTTAGTTTCACTGCATATGAGTTTGAGAGGAAAAATATAGTGAAGAATTTTTATCAAGTGTATATATTAAACTTAATTTTGTCAAAACACATATACTCATGGAAGTGATATTTCATTCAACATGTTACTGGAAAGGTCTCCATTCCAGGCTAATAGTCACCCAAACTGTTTCTTTTTTTCAGGAAGATAAATGAAATGATAGCACCTGAGTTCAGGTCCTCTTTGTTTGACTATCACATTTAATAATGGTTACACAGTAGCACCAAAATCAGGACAAAATACAAGAATTACAAGAGAGATCTTAAAAGATATGGGCTCATTGCATGCTTCGTAAGGATTCATTTCTGAGAAAGGAATTCCAATTGCCAAAATTTTGCTGTGTTTTCACTGAAAAGAAATAGAACCTGCCCAAACTAAACAAAAGATACAACAGACTAAATTTTGAATAGATATGTTATCTACAGTTCATAGGAAGGAGTCCCTTTAAATAGAAAAATGTTGATTTTTTTTACATAAAGCGAGATAGAGTACAAAAGCACAGCTTTTGTAATTTTGGTAATTTTGCAATTGTACAAACATATTGCATAGTATATGTAAGAAAATAGTTCCATTTTTCATATCTATATATACAAGAAAACATTTACATGAAAGTTACAAAACAAAATAAATGGATAGTGGACCTGATTGAGAGAATTGTATAAATAAAGAAACAAACTCCAAATTGTGTGTCTCCATTGTTAGTAAATGTCCTTGCACATCTTTAACCCTGTTTGTCTTTTATTTATAAATACACAAACAAAAGAAATATTAATACTGGAGACCCAGAAATAATCACAGTTCATTACACCTCACATCCTGTAATGTTTGTCATTACTATCCCAAGACTCACCCACATCAATTAACTCTTAAAAAGTAGCCCTCTAGTTCTAGAAGAACTTCAAATTAATTATGTTTTCCACAGATACTTTTTGGCAAGCAATGACATTTTGAACCCAACTAAGTTAATCCATCCTGAGGACATTTTGGGTGTAGTCTTTATGTCCTGGTTTTAAGAATACGGAAACATTCATTACACATTTATAAAAATATGCAGAGCACACTACTGAAGTGGTCTTTCTAAAACTAAAGCAGTAACTAATGGCTGTAGCTCAGATTCCTGCCAGAAACACATTTACTTCCTTGTGTCATAGCTATAACCCCTATTTAGTTCAATAAATTAGTAGAAGCAATAGCAGTCTAGAATTAAATACAATAGTAATTCTGGTCTTTGGTCTTTGACATTTCAATGACTACTAGACTTCCCTTTAAAGCAATATCTACAAAAGTGTCCAATGAGACAGTTCATTAATTTATAATTGGAGATAAGTGTGATATTACTTTACTTTTTTGATAATGACATTCTGCAGTGGTCATTACCATAATATATGCTAATGTATGCAGCAAATAACTTAATGAATCTCTAAGAAGGGTCACATGAGCAATTCTAATTAGATCAAAGCTACAGACAAATAAGGTACAATACCTCAAATGCACAAAATTCAAAAATGAGTTTGATGATGACCATTGTATATATTAAATAAGGCCATTAAATACCTTCAACTATAATTTAATGTGATATTGATGTTGTATGTCCTAAACTATAGTGCTAACAGCATCAGATATTCTCCTGGATATTGCTACTTTACAAAGATCTGCTATGTTTGCAATGATGAAATCCATCAGAGATATTAATATACCAATGGTGTGTTTGGAAAATGAAGCACTGTTGAAATGAGACATTAAAATGGTATATTATAAAAGAATTTTCATAAGTATAAAAGTTTAATACTTGGCCATATTGCTAAAATAAAACATTTTTCAAATACCTATGGTTTTTAATCTGATGAAGGTCAATATTAATGGAACAGTAACAGGATGTTTGTATTTGGCAAGCATTATTTTAAAGTTCTAAAACAGTATTTAAATAAGAGCCATAATCATCTTATTCTTAATATCATCCATATCACTGAACACATCAATCAAAGATGATTTCCCCAAAAGGAAATGGTATTCAATTGGTAAGAGCACAATCAGGATTATGGAGAAAAACAATAGGATATTTGTAAGATTTGCTTTTGACATGGATGAACAGCTCTTGAAGGAATGGATCATCACAAATTCTAGCTTGACAGAGTCTGATGAACTCATAGACGGTCATTAAACATCTCTATAAAAGAACCAGTAGAATTAAGAGATTATTATGACTAAGGAGAATACATAGATTAATATAACTTTCTCACAGACCACTATACTTCAACCAAAAATGATTATTTCCAAAGAAGATGTAAACCTTTTAAGTTTCATGTAACCAAAACCCAATTCCGAATTCCTACTCTTTATTTTCAAAGATTCAGAGGACTATAGTCTAAGATTTCTAAATTGTAATATAATTGAACTTTGGTACTGTCTAAACTTATAGAAATGATTATCTTTCATATCACAAAAATTATGATTCACAATAAAAATACAGACTAGTAAGTACAGTACAGCATGTTGGAAATACAGACCAAATGGGCCATGAAATCTTGAAATTGTCCTTTGTTCACTGTTTGCTTTGAATTGTTTTGAAATTTTTAAAAATTTCATCACTGAAATATTTTATACTCAAAATAATAATGTAATTTCTTTCTATCTCTTTGAGTTCCAGAGAAACTGAACTTAAAAATGCATGTGAGTTTATCGATTTCTAGATCATAATTGAAATGCCACCAATTTTCCTACTCCAATTTCTCCTTTTCCCTTCTTGCCTGCAGGATCTATACTAAATATGATGCTAAGACAGGAGTAGCTGAGTTGTGTTTATGTGGCACACCTATATTTTTCAGTGTGATTTAGAGAGATAGAATTTGCATCATTTAAATAGGCTGCAGTGGTGTGCGTGTGTGCGTGTGCGTGTGTGTTTGTGTGTTTGTGTGTGTCTGCTTGTGTGTTTATTCTAATCTGTAAAATTGCAATGGAAAGCAATGGAGAAATCTGTTCTTTAGCTCTTGAACCTTTTTTATCATCAAAGAAACAATGATTCACTATTAGGACCTCAAAGACTTCCAAGCCTCTAATAAAAGCTTAAACTTTGAAATTATTGTACCTGAAGAAACTTCAATAGTCAAGCAATCAGTTCAAGTCAATCACTTAGTATTGTAGAAGGAAGTCATCTACAACATTCTATCTTTTATACATAACAGGTATTTGAACAATATTTGCACGTATCTCAAGTTTATGTGATTCTTTTGTGTTTGTACTTTTCAGAATATCTTTGAGTTGAAAATTTTGCCAGTCTTCCTTCTTACTTTATTGTGTTGTTTTTTATTGTTTTGTTTTGTTTTCTATGTTATTTTTAAAAAAGGGTCTCTCTGTAAAGCCCTGGCTGTCCTGGATCTCCCTATGCAGACCATGTTGGACTTCAAATCACACAGATCCTCCTGGTCTGCCTCGCAAGTGCTGGAATTAAAGGTGTGAGCCATCACTTCCAGTCTGTAATTTGTTTTTCATATCCTTTGTTCTTACACCTTTCACCCTTGGCATCTTGTATTAAGCATATAAAATTCTTGTTCCTCTTTGCCTTGCGAAATAGACCATGTTAGTGCTAGAAGAAACCTTCAGAGGATGTTTGATTTGATATTTTTGTTGCTTGTAAAATGTTCTTTGTAAACTGAAGCCTGGAGGTATCCCCAGAGTGCCCCAGACTCAGCTTAATTGATTAGTAAAAGACTTTAGAAACAGGAAGGATTACGAACCACAAGCATTAGCATTCTTTGATTAGAAAATTCTTTAATTGTTTTAATTTAGCATGGCTAAAGCCCCACTATGTACCAAATTAATGAAGACTGTCTTCTTCAACATAACACAGCAATCAGCACCCATGTCTCTCAAATTTCTTGAGTCACTGTGTGACTCATTTGCAAAGACTAATGTGAAAATTTTATATATTAAATTTTCTTAAAAATGAATTAAGCTCTCTGTTATGACTTTTCAAGCAATTATATGTTCCAACTTTTATTTTGATATTAGTTTACAGATTTATATAATAACCCCAAAGCACAAGTTCAATACTACTTTAAAAATGATCAAAGTGAAATACCTTATAGAGAGTTCTGCAGAGTTTGGAATGTGCTCAGTGATACTGAGCTTTGCCTGTTACTAGAAATGCTGGGGATCTGAACGAGATATTTTTGGACAAGCAGGTCACTTTGCCAGTTGCATTATCCAATTTTCTAATTTTTGCTAACCAAATTATTTCAGCATGTCTCAATCTTTTGCTTCATTTCAGCAACAGAGAACAGGATTTCAAAGATTCTGCAGTTTCAGAGCCCTGGAGTGCAACTTCCACACATCTGTTAATGGTGTGCACAGGTTCAAGGAGGAAATGAAGGGAAAATTAAGGACTTACCTTTCAGTCATCAAGTCACCTTCCCAAACTAGAAAACCTGAAATACAAGTTTCCATTCTTGTATTCTTCAGTTTCAAAAAAATGAGTTTAAGTGCACTGTGATGAATAAATCTATAATCTTCTAGAGTTATTAATTAGGACCTCATTAACAAAAATAAACATCAGAGATTGGAAACAGCTATGGTTCATGATGTCATCATAACTTAACAGTCTAAAAAATGTGACTAAATGCTAACAGTAAATAGAAGGGTAACTAGATTCCTCAACAGAGAAAGCACATATCCAACACTCTTGTGAACGTTAGTCTTTTTATCATTTTCTTTTCTGGAATTTATAATTTAATGTCTAAGTTTCTTAAATATTAACCTGAAATTAAAAGAAGGATACTTAATTTGAAAATGATGTCCCCTTGGAAAGTGAACTGGTTCTCAGCATTATGCATAACATTTGCATTTAATTAGAGGTTGGTTTAACTTTTGCATTTAAAAATTGAGTTTAATGTAAATGGAGTGAACAAAAGAGTACTACTAAAACCTAAGGGCAAAGGATACTGTGTGAATTTTTAAAGAAAAATCTGATGGGTTCCACACTGTAAGTATACCCTTCCTATCATACACTGCAATTTTTCAGATGTTTTCTTAAAAGCAAATGTGTCGCATGCAATAGCCACATAAATATAAGGCCATCCAGACATATGACAGCATAATGGCGTTTTTTGTTAACTTTGTTAATATTATATTGCTGAGAGCTTTCAAAATTATCTAATGTACAAAATTCCAGACTTAGTAGTCAAAGAGTACCAACACATTGAATTTAAGGAAACAAAAACAACTCAGGAATTCTGTCTTCTCTTGTTTCATTTAGTTAAAAACCATGTATTGAATTTAATTTTTTAGTAAAGCAAGCATTACATAATGCTTCAAAATTTTAAAAGTCGGGGATAAAAGTTTACGTCCAAAAAAGATGAATGGAAAAATTGTGCTTTCAGACTGCAGAATTAGTCTTCTGATGGGGTTAAGCATTTCATGTCACCATTGGATTTGGGAATTTCATCTGGGTAATGTGTTCGTGCACAGTTCGTAGCCAGGTTCTGCAAAATTCTAAAACTGTGTGCTTCACTCCACGTAGCAAAGGCACCTAAGTTATTCTCCCTTTTGAGCAAATGTCATGATCCAGGTTTCCTGCTGAAGATGGTTTTCCCACAGCCGAGTCAGTCGCACTGTTTGTGTTGAGTAAGGTGAATCTGGAGGTGTAAGCGAGCCCCTGCTGATCCTGGACCAGTTTGCTCTGTGGTCCATCTGAAGAAGCTCTGCACTGATCACAGGGGAAACCGAGCAAAACCGTGAAGCAGACGGACGGGAACAAAAGGCTATTCTGGTGTGAGGAGAAATCAGTTGCTTCAGCTCCACAAGCAAATACTGCTACTGGACTGACAGGTGGAGCCTACCCCAGCTGGGGAAAGGTAGAGTTTGCCATTGGGGCAGACACACAGTTCGTATACTGTCTGTCGAGTATTTGTAGAGCTGGGTGAAGAAGAGAAGGAACCGGTTGGTAGATTTCCCAGCCGGATTGTATCTGCATTTAGAAAAATCTAGGAAGAAAAGGGAAAAATAATCTCAATTCATTTCAGCATGGTATCTCCCTCAGAGCTATTCAACATGACTTGGCAACAGAGGTTATTATTCCTCATGAAGTTTTGAACAGGCTACAAGCCTTTGTATCTTCCAAAACTTCTGATGCTGTCTTCCACTTTGCCAGAGTTCTGAGAGCAAGCCTTCAGCAAGAAGTATAGTATTGAATAATCTGCTCATGGGGCCAACAGTAATTAAAAACAATAAGAACAACATGGCACATGGGGATTGGGAGGCTGGTGGAGGGGCAAGGGAGGAGGGGTGGGAGATGGAGCTGGAATCTATATGTGAAGCACTCATGTTTCTAATTTAAATAAAATATATTGAGAATAAACAATAACACACATACATGGGCAGAGAGAGAAGAGAGAAGAGAGAAGAGAGAGAGAGAGAGAGAGAGAGAGAGAGAGAGAGAGAGGCAGATAGACGCAGATAGAGACAGAGAGACAGGCAGAGAATGACTGGCCATTCCATTTAGCTTCTTAGTCATGTCTGAGAGTTATATAGAGAAAGAAGGATACCAGATGGGATGACATTAATGAAGAAGGGGGATTAATTAATAACATACTCCATTACCTGTTTTTTTAAGACCCATGAGAGAATGAGTAAAGTCATTTCCAAAACACGCAGAAAAGTCCTCACAGTCTAAAGATCAGGTGACCAAAGAAATCATGAGAAGAGATAATTCTACATATCATTATGTTTGAATTCTCTATTATACTTTACCTGGGTTTAGCAATTCATTTTCTATTGTTTCAATTTGGCGAGTTGCTCCACTTATTTAAAGATTTCTATTTTCTCTCTCTCTCTCTCTCTCTCTCTCTCTCTCTCTCTCTCTCTCTCTCTCTCTCTCTCTCTGTGTGTGTGTGTGCATGTATGTATGTGTGCACACCATGGACCCTGTGTACATATCAGAGAACACTAACCAAAGTTGGTTCTTGCCTTCCACCCTCTGGTCCTGAGGGCTGAACTCACGTCATCAGACTCAGCAGCATGTGCCTTTACCCATTATGCTATCTCATTGGCCCCTGACTTACTCATAGACTCCCAAAGTTGACACAAGGATTAGGAAAAATTCAATTTTCCTTTTTCTTGACCTAGTTATTTTATAGTACTTCTGTTGTGGACTTTGCTGCCATCCACGTCTATTTTGTATTTTCCCTGTCTATTCACTATACTGTTATGGTGGACTTTAAAGAAATGCAAATTGAACCATATTTCTCAAATAAAAACAGGTGTTTGCCCTGGGACACATACCTTACATTTTCTGCCCACTTACCCTAACATCATCAGCTACAACTGACTTTTATTTTGTATTTTCCAAAAGGGATATTTTATTAATAAATTCACTCACATTGGCTGCTGCCATTCCTTCACTGAGATGGAAACATAAGACAGGAAGTTAGGAAAACTGAGATGATGATACCACCACAGATCTGAGCCTCTCGAGGTTGCAGCATGGATGGGCTTGCCCACCTCTTCCTCTTTTGCAAGGGCAGTTACTGTGATAATGTTCATTTTATAACTCCTGAAATTGGTATGTCTGCTCTGTATTGCCCCATAAACTATACAATCCATCTGCTCTGAAAGTCAAGACTGTGACTAGAATCGTACCCCAGAGCTTTGAGCTCAGCGTAGCAAGAATTCATTTATCTATTCATACCTGTTGAAAACAGTGTAATTTGTCCCCTCAAAAAAGTTAACCAATTTTTGGAATAAACGCTAACCAAACAAGTGAAAGACCTGTATTGCAAGAACTTTGAGTCTTTAAAGAAAGAAATTAAAGAAGATACCAGTAAATGGAAAGATCTTTCATGCCCTTCGATAGGTAGGATCAACATAATAAAGTAATATACAGATTTAACACAATCCCCATTGAAATCCCAGCAAAATTCTTCACAGACCTTGAAAGAACATTTCTCAACTTTATATGGAAAAACAAAAAACCCTGGATACCCAAAACAACCCTGTTCAACAAGGCAACATCCGGAAGCATCACCATCCCTGACTTCAAGATCTATTACAGAGCTATAGTAATGAAAACAGTTTGATAGAAGCACAAAAATAGACAGGTAGACCAATGGAATCAAATTGAACACCCTGATACTAACTCATACATGTATGAACACTTGATCTTTGCCAAAGAAGCTAAAATTATACAATGGAAGAAAGAAATCATCTTCAACAAATGGTGCTGGCATAGCTGGAGGCTGACATGCCAAAGACTACAAATAGATCCATGTCTATTGCCATGCACAAAAGTTGAGTCCAAATGAATCAAGCACCTCAACACAAATCCAGCCACACTGAACCTCTTACAAGAGAAAGTGGGTGGTACCCTTGAATGAATTGGTGCAGGAGACAGCTTCCTGGATATAACAGCAGTAGCACAGACAGTGAGGTCAGTAATTAATACATGGGACCTCCTGAAACTGAGAAGTTTCTTTAAAGCAAAGGACACTGTGAGCAAGACAAAAAGGCAGCCCACAGAATGGGAAAAGATATTCACTAACCCCACATCTGACAGAGGGCTGATCTCCAAAATTTACAAAGAACTCAAGAAACAAGTTGCCAAAACACAAAACTGGGCTACAGAACTAAATAGAGAATTCTCAATAGAGGAGTCTAAAATTGCTGATAGACACTTAAGAAAGTGCTCAACATCCCTAGCCATCAGGGAAATACTAATTAAAACAACTCTGATACACCATCTTATTCCTGTCAGAATGGCTAAAAACCAATGACAGTTTATGCTGGAGAGGATATGGAGAAAGGGAAATACGCTGCTACTGGTGGGAGTCCCAACTTGTACAGACACTTTGGAAATCAGAATAGAGATTCCTCAGGTAAATGGTAATTAGTATACAACAAGACACAGCAATTCCACTCTTAGGCATATACCCAAAAGATGCACATTTATACAACAAGGATGTCTGTTTCACAATATTCCTAGCAGTATTATTCGTAATAGCCAGGACATGGAAGCAACCTAGATGCCCCTCAATTGAAGAGTGGATAAAGAAATGTGGTACATCTATTCAATGGAGTACTATTCAGTGAGGAAAAACAATGGAATCTTGAAATTTGCAGGCAAATGGATGGCACTAGAAGAAACCATCCTGAATGAGGCAACCCAGACAAACATATATATGGATTTAGACATGGAGCAGGGATGTTCCAGCCTACAATCTCACTGCTAGAGAGTCTGGGAAACAGAACCTTCATCCAGTGTCTGATGGAAGCAGAGGCAGTCACCTACAGCTAAACACTGAACTAAACTCCTGGAATCCAGTGGCAGAGAGGGAGGACTGATGAGTGAAGGGGTCCAGACTGGTCTGGTTTTAACCCCCCAAAACAGCTGACCTGAACAAGGGGAATCTCTTGGACCCCTGATACCTGGGAGGCCGCCATGGGACTGATCCAGACCCTCCTGAATGTGGGTGTCAGTAAAGGGGCCTAAGTAATCTATGGGGCCTTGGGTAGTAGATCAGTATTTATCCCTGGCATACAAATGGACTTTGGTTGCCCCTGCCACAATGAGGGATGTTCTCTTTGACTGGAGTCTTGGGGGAGGGCCTAGGCCCTGCCCTGAATGAAATTACAGACTCTGGTGATCCACCATGGAGGGCCTCACCCTCCCTGGGGATCGGGGTGGGGATTGGGTGGAGGACTGGGGAAACCTGGTTGAGGGGGGCAGAGGAGGAGGAGAGGGAGAGGAAGCTGGGATTGACATTTGAAGCAAACTTGTTCCTAATTTCAATAAAAAAATAATGAAAACAAAAATGTCTCCCTCATCAATGTTCGAGCATGTATGTGATTGTGTGTCATTGCAGTGTGGATGTGGTCATATCACTATAATACTTCATTTACAGTTATGACTCTTATTTCCTTCAATGCTACATTTGGAGTTCCTTTTTACATTGACTCTAAATTGACATTGATTGTTTACAGCACAACCTTGGATTTTCAGTACAATTCATATTACTTCCTTTCAAATCTTATGTTTAATGCTTAAATATGGTATCTGACGATATGAAGTAGTTTTGACTCTAAGTGTAGAGATTTATATTTTAAATAGTGATCAATTTCTTTTTGTGGTGTGGTTTTTGTAGAACACAGAAATGAACAAGTAACACCAACATCAAAGTACTTTGGCAAAAATGTTTCCTTTCTTTTTTATTTTAATCAGGTATATAAAACTATAAAAAATGTAGGTTCATGGATTCTATACAGTTTACCACATAGCGTGCACTGTGTAATTTAAATCAGGTTAAACATATTTAGTTACTCAGAGAATTTACTTATTTTTTATGGTGACAACTGTCCGAATTTTGCCTTCAAGCTTTCTGAAATATCTACATCATTATTTCTATCTAGAGTGGCCCATTTGGACAACAGTAATGTATCCAAAATTCTTGCTCCTCTCTGATTATAACTTAGCTCATACTGACTAATCTGTGGAAGAAACATTATGATGATCCAAAGAGTAAAGATAAAAAGGATCATTTTCATTTTAATGTTTAAAACTAATATTGAACCAACAGGAATTTGGAAGCCTATTTCAAACTTTCCTTGGAATGAATACTTTTTAGTAGAAAGTAAAAGGACCTCAATAAACACATTGCTTAAGAGGAATCAAGATTTCCAAAGCTTACAACATTTCAAGAAGTGGCTCCTCAAGTCTCATGGAACCTGATGCATGAGACAACATGTAGAGCAGCTAATTCAGCAGTCAAGGACCAGCCCTGCTTGGACACTCACCTCCCCTTCTGTAGATAGCAAGTGCAGTTCCTTCCTGCAGGCAGCCTTGAAGTCACCTGCAGCAGCGCTCACCTGGACCCCTCGGGGAGCTTCCATTATCAAGGATCTGGTTGGTGATTCAAGCCTAAATGAAGGCAAAATATCATTTACAAAAGATGGAAACTTATAATGAACTGGGAAAAAAGCATTAGGATTTAGCTTACCTTTATACAAAGCTAGCATAAATCCAAATCATCACGATATATTATAAGGATTACAAGCCCAGTTAAGTTTTAGGATATTTTTCACTACTTTATCTACTTTTTGGCTCATTATAAAATCTTCATTTGTTCTTATTGATTATTCTCATGTATAATAATTTAATAAGATTTTCTCATGTCAGTTCTTTTTATCACACTGGAAAAGTAGGTTATCATGAGTTCACATATTTAAATCTTTAATATATTATCAATGTTACTGATGAGGTTTTAATAAATGAATTGACAGAATTCAACATGTACATATTTTTTCGATAAAGAATTCCAGCTTTGTGACTATGAAAAACTTAATGAAATTCATTAATATTACAGTCCTTCAAGCTTGCACCCTCAAAATTTTGTGAACTCAAAAAATTTCAAAATGTGCATAAAAATTTTTGGAAATAGCAAAGACTACCATTTTACATGTTGAATGACCTTCCTTGGTCATTTCAATGACTCCAGTCTAAATGACTCAGTTTGTGGAAGAAAGTCAGAATCAGAAGACAACAGAATATACTTATAACATCCCAAGCATGAAAAGAGGAAGGCACCAGCTAGTCTTTTTGTGGTGTGTCCTTAATTTGCTGATGCAGCTGCTACATTTCTTTCTATGACAGCCTGTCAGAAAGAGGCTTCCCTCACTCTCATTGTCACCATGATCCAGAGTCACTGGATCATGTGACCCAGTCACTGACCATTTTCCAATGAGACAAGGGCTACTTTGTGGAAAGAACTCCTTGAAGCTGGTCTCTGAAACATAAATGCTCAATAGAGACACCATGCTTACAGCCTTGAAGGTGGCATCCAAAAGGAGACGCATAATTTAGAAGTGATTTCAACAATTGTAAATATTGGCCTTATTCCACATTCATTAATGAAAGCAAATTTGAAACGTTTACCTCTATTGATCATTTGAACATCTTCCAAATGTTACTGGAGCTGAAAGACTTCAATAATACCTGTTTTTAAGCTATACTAATATATTGTTATTTTCAGTAAAAACAAACCAGAAAGTTTGAAAAGAAAAGAGAGTTTCATTGATCAATAAAGTCTACAAGGTATACATGCTATATATTTGTATTTATGCATTACCTAATATTTAAGCATTATTAATGGTAGAAATCTTACACTACTGAAAAATTCCTTAATTCAGACTTTGAATTAAATAAGTCTCAACTGTACACTTTGCTAGTATTGATAGAATTAAATGTGGTGATTGTGAAAAATAATCCAAGTGTTATTAAAATAGCACATTCTGTTATGAATAATAAATAGTTTTTAGACAAGTAGCATACACAGATAACTTAAAAAGAGAATTTAGTTAAAGAGTATGTGTATGAAATATACTAGACTAGTTGGAGGGTTTCTTATATTTTTAGTTTAATTTTGAACATAATAAGTGGCAGTCATCAAGTATATCTTAAGCACATGAAAACTGAATCAGTCTTAAGCATTTTGATAAGCTTTCCTGAATTCTTAGTGTAATTTTTTCATGGGATAAATCAAGCTATAACATAGTAACATGATGTATGGATCCAGATATAAAACATCTCAAATTACCACTGGGTAATGAATGGGAGTGTTTCATTTTGAACATTTAGAGATGAGGTTTATCTGAGTTATCTGCCTTCAGCATTTGTAATTGGATGCATGACCAATAGGTACTTGGACTTGAACTGTGTGCAATGGGGTAATCTCTCTTGTAGCATGTGTTGACTAGGTAAGAAGGCACTTCATTATAAAAACATTATATCCACAGGGTGCTTCCACTCAGATACACACAGGAGGATAAGAAATTTTCATATGTTGACAATAATAAGACAAAGATTACAATTACTCAAAAGTTTTATCACAATTTCAAAAGGCATTAGGATGCTTACAAAGAATCTGCAAAGTACATTATTGAACAAATAGATGTAGACAAAGTTTCCAATATTTGCAGTAAAAGGCATTATAACTAGCTATCACAGCTTATCAAAATAGGTTGGACACTGTGTAATTATTGACTTCATTCATATCAATATTTCTCAGGCATTATTAGAAGCTGGTACATCTAGGAGCTATGATATAATTTTCAGGATAATAGAAAGGCATTGCTTATATTGAACATAGTGCTGCAGATTCTATCACCATGGCAATTACTCCCAAAGATCAACAATGTAGGAAATTGAAGTATAAACTATGGAAACCAAATTACTATGTGCAAAAGCCATATCAATCTAATGAGCAAATTCATCACAGGAATTGGAATAAGAAACTGTGAATGCTCTTTACTTCATGTATCAGTTGCTGATAAACTTTCTGGTGATAAGCTATCTACTCATAGTTTAAAGCATTTTAAAAATAAGAATGTCACAGTTCTCACAATATGTAGATTCTCCCTTCTCAAATAATGGTTTAGCTATGTAATTACAGTAATGTAATATGAAATAACTTCAAATACTGGAATATTACTGTAGTTAAACCATGATTATTACACTCCCACTAAAAACTGTATGCTCTAATTATCCATATGTTACCTAAAGCATGCTTAAACATTACAGTGGTTGCTTCATTTCCCCTGGGTTATGCTGCTAGTGCAAAGATCCCTAAGTATGCAAAGCAATCTTGACTAAGCACAGGGTTAGAGACCTGAATAACTTCTTACAAAGCTGCAGTAATCAAGACAGAATTGACACCACACCATAATTGATACAGTGAAATAAAGTGTATGTCACAGCTTGTTTTACTTGTATAAGCATCTGACCTTGAGAACGGCAATGAAGCTATTCTGGGAAGAAAGCAATGTCTTTATAACAAATAATACAGGAAAAACTGGATATCTATATGACAAAATAAACTTTAGTTTCTACCACACACTATCATGTAGAAGTTGAAATCATAAGGCTTTTCAATGAAAATATCTTTGTGGCTGTAGAGAATAAAAGTGTCACAGGCTACAATGTATAGTAATTAGTACTTATTTAACAACATGCTTGATATTGTTAAATTAAAATGTGCATTCAAAATTATCACCAATCAAGTGAATATATAATGGATTGAGAAACAGTATCAATAACATGATATATCACAAATTGGGGGTACTAGGATAAGTTAAAAAGAATTCCCCCATATTTAAAGAATATGTGGACATGTTAGGAACGACACATAGCTGCCAGATATGTTCATGAAAGTGGTTCATATTGTTACCTCTTGAATAATAGCAAACAGAACAGAAATGCAATACCAGCATGTTTCCTTTGCAATGACTTAAATCAGTAAGATTGCTAACACCAAATATTGTTGAGACTGGACAGCAAATGACAGTGTTCTGGTGCAAAGACATTAAGCATTCCAAAAAATTCTTAGGCAATTTGACATAGAGTCTAACAAGCAGAAACATCATGCACAAATGTACACATGTGTATATGTGTATATGTTTGTGAGTCTATATAACATTATAATATTAAATAATATTGTACATATGATTGTATAATATTGCATATAAAATATTGCACATATATAAACCTTTATCAATAGTTTGCTTAAATAATAGTATTTTTGATATATTAGGTTCTAATGTGCAGAAATATTATCTTGAAAGTAAAGACACAAAGGCTTCAAGCGTGTATTTAAACTTTCCTTGAAATCTAGTGCAGAGCTTAAAACATATTAGATGCTCATAAAAATTGTTAAAAAAACTGTACAAATTCACATTTCCAAAACAGCTATCTATTTGCTATTGTGTCTTGAGAACAGTGTCATGACTATGCATTGCTTTTTTCCTCAGCCAACAATTTCACTTGCCTGATGATTATTGCATCAGCTGAAAACACTTCCGCTGAAAATTGTCAGCAATGTATGTCAAGATCCCAGACACTCTGTTCTAGATTTCAGTACACAGATGAATAATTAAATAGCCCAATTATCACTGTATTTTGTTTCTGCCTCAGTTCTGAAATTTAAATTAGACACACTTATCTTGGAGTAGTCAGATAATTTTAGCATTGATGGTAAGTCACGCTTATTCAATGCTAAAGTAATGGATGGTCAGGATAGAAAATATCAGAAACATTATATACTAACTATAATTTATTTTACTCTTACACTTGCAAATATTGAGACATCCTTAGGACACTTAAAGCCATATGTAGATGATACAACACATACATAATTACTAAAACTGTAGAACCATAATGATTTTCTTAGAACTCAGAAACCAACAGGAATGATTTAGTCTCTTCTGATACATACAGTTTATATTTAGGTATATTCTAATTTTTCACTTATAGCTGAATGCCAAAATTAAATTAATTTCAACATTGGAAAGGAAAGAAAACACAAATCTTTATAGAATACTGGAAATGATTGTTGACTTGCATATATTGTGCATTGCTGAAATCAGACAGAATCCAGTCATCTCACAAAGCTCACTGCTTCCACACGATGGAAGTCATTTCTTCAGCCTTCCATATCATCATTTTCTGTGGTCCATGAAAAGGGACACTTGAGCATCTCAACTAGAGCTTAGCATCCATTGACTCAACATCTCCTCAATCTCAACTTCTCCCTCATATGCAGCCTTTGAAAGCAAACCAAAAGCCTTTGGTTCCAAACTTGCAGAGGTCAACTGTGTTTATATGTCATGTGAGTGATAACATGAACATACTGTATATGGAAACTACATTTGATAAGTCTACAACAACTGGCATTGATGCCATCCATATGTATCCTGAGGAAATTCTATTTCCTAAGTCACATTCATTTAGTCACTGTTATAATGCTAAGAATATGCAGAAAATAAGTGGGTCCTGAAAACCAGGAATGTGCTATCTTAAGTGGAGAAGGATCATAGTTACCTCAAACTTACCTAAATTCACAAGGGCCATGAATGTGTGTGTGTGTGTGTGTGTGTGTGATTATGTGTATGTTTGAATATGTGTGTTGTTTATGTTTGTAACATATATAGTATGCATGTTCATGTATGAATGTTTGTGCTTGCACATACACATTTGTACACACACATGTGAAAGCCAGAGAAGAACACTGAATGCTATGCTTACTCACCTGTTATTTTATTCCTTGAGACAGACACTCAAGACTAAAAGTACACTAAAAGTGTGGTTTCTACACTGCCCTTAACATTTCTCAATCCCTTGAGTTTTTGCATAGAATGTGTAGTTTTTACCTTAATTAACATTAAAAAATAAGGATCACATAAAAAACCACCCTCTGGTAATAACCAATAAATTATTGAACCTATGTTTCTCAGTTAGGACAAAAGTCAAGAAAATATTACAAAACTATGAGATTCTAAATATATGTTACTGTAAAAATGTTTGCTTTTTTTATACTATAATTTCCAACTCATTTTGTGGGTGTGTGACAAGGTCCTCTGTGATTTATGGAAAGAGAAACTTGTCACCAATGCAGCCATAACTCTCTGCTAACAATGTGTCCTGCCTGCAACTTATGCTGGAGCAATGGAGGTGCAGAACTTGTGGAAGTAACCAACCAATGTTTGGTTTAATTTGAGGTTTATACCACAAGGGGGAGTCCATTTCCTACACTACCTAGGTGGCCAGGAATCAGAAATTAGGTAGACTAGCTACTTAGGGTAGAACCAAAAAGGACTGGAAAAACAAAACCAAGAAAGCAAGAAAGAAAGAAAAAAAGGAAGAAAGGAAGGAAGATTCTTAATGATACTCTGCAATAGTCATAGATTGGTGCCTTTTGTAGATGGGAGTGGGGGGGCAGAGACCCATAGCCAGACATTATGCAGAGAGAGAGAGTCTAAATTGGATGTCTCCATCAGGACTCTACTCCCCTCTGAGATCAGGGAACTACATGAAAGAGAGGGAGGAAAGGCTACACGAATCAGAGGAGATGGAGGACTCCAGGAGTGAAACATGGCCACTGAATCAAATAAGAAGGGCTCATGGAGGCTGAGACAGCAAGCAAGGGGCCTGCACGGGTCTGCACCAGCTCCTTTGCATGTTATATTATGACTGTTAGCTTGATGTTTTTTTGAGACTCTTAACAGTGTATCTCTGACTCATTTGCTTGAGTCTCTTCTTTTCCTATTGGGTTGCCTTGTCCAGCCTCAATATGAGGGATTTCGCCTTGTCTTATTGTTTCTTGTTCTGTTTGGCTGTCATCTCTTAGACATCTGCATTTTCCTGAAGAGGAAATTGGATTGGGAATGGATCTGGGGAGGGGGATGTGGTTGGGATATAGTATATGAGAGATATATGAGAGAATAATCTATCTCCACTTTCAGAAAAGTGAACTCTATTTTCTGTTTTCATTTGACCATTTTTCTTATTAGTCAATGAAAAAAACTAAACAATGACTTTTATGTTATAAAGTGTGTCTGTCTGTGTGTGTGTGTGTGTGAATGAATGCATGTTTTGTTTTTTAGTTTGTAACATATGCACTGTTCATCTACATGTTTGCATGAGTGTGATCAAACATACATATTTTCTCACCCAAGTGTGGAAGCCAGAGAAGAACACTGAGTGCTTTGCTTTATCACTTATTGTCTTATTCCTCTAAGAGAGACCGTCTTTTTGAATCTATAACTAGGTTGGTGGCCAGAAAGTCATAGGATCTTCCCATTTCCCCATCCCACCTCCTCTCCCACAGCACTAGGAATATAGTCATATACTAGGTCATGAGTAGCTTCTCTACAAATCTTTTGTGCATGAACATCATTTTGTGAGTTTGTCAGGGATGCATTCTACCTACGTCACATGGTGTGATCCTTTAATATTCTCTACTGGTCTTTCCTCCTTCATTCCCTTTATGCCTGTCTATCAATATCCTGTGTGTCAGCCTTATCTTATTTTGGAGACTGCCTAGTTTAACCAGTACTTCCCTATAATTCCTCCACAGCTGCCTTTTTTCATTTTCTAAACTCTTTCTCATTAGTACGTGTATTTCTGTGTTCATGTCATGTATGTTTGGTAAATAGAGTTTAGGATATCTCATTATTTTGCCTTAGATATCTGACTACTATGAAGCTCCAGGATGTTTGTTTGTTTGCTTGTTTGTTTTTGTTCAAGTTCATAGCACTGGCACCATTTTACTTGTTCATGTGTTAAAGTAATAAATTGTGAGGGGGAACTATGACACGGTAGAAGAAGGAAGACTTACCTGAGGTCTTGGGATGGCTCTGCTCTGATGTGAGGTGTTTCCACAGAGTGCCCAAATACTGCCCCTTCAGTTCCTGGAGACAGCATGAACACAGCAGTCAGTAGATGCATTATGTACACACACACAGTGACTTTTGTCTGATTCTATGCATCAATATTCTCCCCTCAACTAAAAGCAGTAGCAGGTCAATTGAAAATTTAACATTGGAAAAGGACTACAAGCCAGAGAGAGGAGCCAAGGGTGGTGGATATGAATACCCCGTGTTAACTACTTTTAAGATTAAATTATTGCTACTTTAGATAGAGACAAGTCACCTTCTGCTCTAATCAAAGAACAAAGATCCGTCTCTTTCATAGCTTTATTTCACAGCTAAGTGGATTAAAGAAATAGGATAGGCTGAATTACTTAGGTCAGATTTCTCATATCTAAGAGGGCACGATGAAACTGCTGATGTTGAGCTCAGGGCAGCACAGTGCTAGACATTTACAGACAGGTTTTAAACAGCACTTAGCCCCCTCTGTACCAGAGACCTTTGCAGAGACCACAGGACTCCACAGTGCTTTGACTTCTTTGGAGTTTAGGCTCTATCTAGAACTGAGAGCCACTTTAATTCATTTCATTATAGTTGAGTTCACCTGGGGTCATTGTTGTCTGAAGAGGTCAAGGACTCCAGAATCTTGTTCAGAGAGTTGAGTGACACCTGATCTAAGCACATTTACTCACTCTGTTTGATTTTCCAGGCTACTAGAGCTTTGCTACAATTTGAGTGAAAAAGGAGAGTGATTTTCTCTCTAAAAAAGAAGTGAAGTCTTTTTCTTTTAAAGTTATAAAGACAAAGTCACTTTGCAAAATAAATTCAAGCAAATGTCTTTCTCTTTCAGATTATGTCTTATTTTCATTTGATCTAGTCTTCCTCATATATTTTGATGGAAGAATGTCATGCTTGTTTCATAAGTGTCATGAAGGCCATATTAATAATACAATGCAATTCAAACTATTCATTGAAATCTGAACCAGTATGACTGTACATACTGTGGAGGCAAATATAAAACTTGTCAATTCTGTAAGCAGGGACATCATCATTAAATGTAAATTAGTGGTAAGTCTTAAAATATCATAAAATAACTGATGTCTTAGGGAAATTGATTAGATCTACTTAATGACCTTTTAAAATGAATATGAAGGTACACCGTAATGTGGAGTCATGGAGGAAGACTATTTTTAAGACTATTAGTTTTGCCACTGTAAGCTCCCAAATTACAGACTTCACTTCCTGAACTAAAGGTATTGCCATCTGCCTGACTCTGAGCCATAACAGCTATTTCTCTGTAACAAAAGCTGATTATTTTTGTTTGTTTTCTATGATTTTCACTATATTACAACACTCATTTCTTTAAATGATTCATTCATTTGATTCTTTGATTCTGCAAATGGAAAATTTCTTATTATGGGTCCTGAAAGGTGGTATAATGGTTTCAGACAAGGAAATTAATAATTCTGTGATTTGGCTGGGGTGGCATTTGAAATAATATCTCCAGATGCAGATTTACATATCTCAAGGAGAGTGGCTGACATTTTAATAAGACTGTAACATCCTGATAGGATGGTTATCCTTGTGCAAAGTTCAAATGCTAATCTTTAGTGCTGGGTGATTATGAAAATTTTCTAGACAAGGTGACAGAAATAAGATTTGAGAACAGTGTTAATATTTATTTTCAAGCAATGGTTCATACCACTAGTAACAGTACAAAATCTGTATGGCTGAATGCAAAAAAAGAAAACAATCAAAACTTCAGTTTGTTAGTAAGGATTAAATCCAAATGAACTCAATTAGAGATGGGGTGGGGAACATAAGAAAAAATATGCCAGGTAGTGGTGGTGCATGCTTCTAATCCCAGCACTCTGCAGGAAGAGACAGGAGGTTCCAGGCCAGCCTGGTATACTGAACAAGTTCTAGGACAGCCCCCAAAGGTACAGAGAAACCCTGTCTAGAAAAACCAAAAAATAAAAAAGAACAAACACCAAGGAAATCCAGAGAATCACACACAGTGATACACTTTAAAAATTCTACCAAATTGAGAAATCTAAAAGAAATGGCTAATTTTCTCTATAACCCACCAAAGCGAAATAAGAGCAGATGAACAGTTTAAGCAGACCTATAACCCCTAGTGAAGTTTAAGCAGTAATTAAAAGTCTACCAACCAAAAAATTAAATAAACAAACCTTAGGTATAAATAGGTTTAGTGACAAATTCTTCCAGGTCTTCAGAGGAAGTTTAATGCTGATGCTTATCTGGATATTTCACAAATTAGAAACAGAGGAAACATTCCTCAATTTGTTTTATGAGGATACTTACCCTGTTACCCAAACCACATTAAGACCCAACAAAGAGAATAAATTATAGACCAATTTCCCTCATTAACCTAGGTGCAAAAATTCTAAATAAAATATTTGCAAACTGAATTCAAGAATACATGAAAACAAAAATAATCCACCCTGATCTAGTAGGCTCACCCCGGAGATTCAGGGATGGTTCAACATAGGAAAGTCTATCAAGATAATCCACCATATAAATTGAAAGACAGAAACCATATGATTATGTCATTGGATGCATAAAAGGCCTTTACCAAAATCCAACACCCCCTTCATGATAAAATTCTTGGTGAGATCAGGGATACGAGGGACACAGTGTGCAGCAAGCCCACAGCCAACATCAACCGAAAAGGGAAAAAGAATAAAAAACTAAAACAAAAAACAAAACTTCAAGAAATTCTACAAAAATCAGGACCAAAGCAAGGTTGCACCCTTTTTCCATATCTATTCAATATAGCACTTGAAGCCTTAACTAGTGCAATACTAAACTGAAGGAGAGCAAGGTGATATAAACTGGAAAGGAAGAAGTCAAAATACAGTAAGTCATCCTAAAATTTCTATCAGCAATCTCTTAGATCTGATACACACTTTCTGCAAAGTAGCAGCATACAAAGTTAACTCACAAAATTCAAACCTTCCTATGTACAAAAGGCCAAATGGACCAAGAAAGATATTGGGGTGGGGGGCAGGAAATCACCTTTCATAATAACCTCAATTAAGTAAAATGAAATGAATTATTTTATTTTATCTCTAACAAAGCAAGAGAAAGACTTGCATGTTAAAAGCTTTAAGACATAATAAAGAAATTGAAGGAGATATAGGAAGATGGAAAGATCTTCCACTTTCATGGATCGGTATTAAGATAGAAAAAAATGGTTATTCTATCAAAAGCAATCTACAGATTCAATGAATTTCCATCAAAATTCTAACACAAATTATGAAGGGACAACTTTCAGCATCACACAGAAACATAAAAATATCGGTATAGCTAAAATAATCATGAATAAAAAATGCTGCAAGTATCACCATCCCCAACCTCAAGTTACTAAGAGGTATAAGTAAACAACAATATTGGCACAAAATCAGACATGATGATCAATGAAATCTAATTGAAGACCAAAACTGTACAAGCCAGGTACTCACTATAACATTGGGAAATTAAGTACCAAGTATTAATTTTCCTTCAATTACGAATCCTCTCAAGTACCAGGCTGCTAATATTTGTCAATTTTCACAGGGAACTGAGTCAGTTCTGAGTTTCAGATAAATAAGAAATCATTGTGTGATTTTTTTTTTTTTTTTTGCTTTCAGGAGCTGTACATGCAATTAATTTGAATATTCAAATAAATTTAAATTATATTCAAATGAATTGAAATTAAATAAGGCACTATAAATTTATCTAGAAAAGTTATTCATAATAATTGGTCATGAAGATAATTGCTCATTATTTATTGGGACATAGTAAAAATTTAATTTGTCTCACTTCAGAATATATCATGAACTCACATGACAAACAATAGAAAATATGTGCTATATTAGTCCATATACACAGGAATATATAAGACATTACTTAGGACATTATCCTTTACACATCTCTAAAAATCATGTTTAATGAATATAGAAATGATAATAAAATTAAATGTATCTCTTTTTCCTCCTGCCTCTCTTCCTCGTCTTCTTCCTAATCTTTCTTCTTCTTTAGAGATAAGATCTCAATATTACCCCTGGCTGACATGGAAGTCATTAAGTAGAACATGTTGGTATATGCCAAAGCTCCAAGAGCTTCTTCTTAAGGCTTAGATTAGGAGTGAATACTACCACACCTGCTTTAAATGCACCTTTTGAACAGGTAATCCGTATTGTCTACATCCTGAATGTATTTTCCATAATCATTACTATTCGGTGCTCATTATCTACTAAGTGGATTATACACCTTTTCAGAAATGATTTTCTAAGTACAAACAAAAGAGCTCTACAACAAAGATAATAGTGACAGTGAGAAGGAGATATTACTAAGTGTAAGGGAAAAGTTGGAACACATCAGTTCTCACCTAGATACTTAGGCAAAGTAGGAAATATCTCAGTTATGTTTGTATTTGTTCTTATGTTTGTCAAGAGGAATTTTTCGTTTTTAGCTTTCAATTAAAATGACAACGAATTTTTCTTGCTTCTTTTTTAAAATGAGGCAAAGAAAGTGACTTTGGCATACAATTATAGTGTCTAGAACAGGGGTTTTAGCCCTCTAACCCTCTTTCAATACCCATGCTAATCAAAATAAACCATTTCTCTTTTGACATAAACTATGTCAGTTTCTCATCATAGTGAAAGGACCCTAATCAGTTTCCATGATCAATGTCAATGACAATTAGCATCAGTCAGGTAAATATGAATGGGAATTACTTCCTTCACCCAACAGAATCCTTTACAGTAAAACATCCAGTGTACTCTAACATACTGGTGACATGCTACAACATTTTACTTAAGGTATTTCAACTAACCACATTGAATAAGACTGTCTTCTGTTTAGACTAACAACTTCAGCTCAACTTTGTGCAATGCTGTGTTCTTATCAACCACATGGTAGTTAGGAAAAAGAAAAATGAAAATATATCAAAAGCATATAAAACAATAAAAATTTATAAAGAACGTATGCTGATAATTTGAAATGAAGAGTTAAAATTAGATGTCACTCCAAATGCT